CCAGGTTGGTCTGACAGGACCTGCCTCTAATGAACCCATGTTGGTTGCCCCTAAGCATAATCTCCCCTGCTGGCCCATCGTGGACATGTGCCAGGATAATTCTCTCAAAAAGCTTCCCCAGGACTGAGGTAAGACTAACTGGCCTATAGATCCCTGGGTCCTCCTTCCTCCCCTTTTTGAAGATGGGAACCACATTGGCCCTCTTCCAGTCCTCTGGCACCACACCAGGGCACCGTGAGTGCTCGTAAAGGTGTGCCTGGGGTCCTGCAATGACTTCAGCTAATTCCCTCAGCACTTGGGGGTGGAGATCGTCTGGACCAGCTGATTTAAATACATCCAGTCCCTCCAGACGTTCCTTGACTAGATCTTTCCTGACCCTTCGCCTAGGTGCGCCTCCCCTGGGGCCTGAGGAGGGCCCAGTGGTGGGGCGGGTCTGGTCCCTGCTTAGGAAAATGGAGGCAAAGAAGTTGTTAAATAGGTTAGCTTTGTCATCTGGTGTGACGACCAAATTTCCTAGTGTGTCTTTCAGGGGCCCCATGTTACCCAGTACCTTCTTTTTGCCCCCTAAGTATTTAAAAAAGGACTTCTTGTTGTCCTTGATCCGGGTAGCTAGTCCCAGTCTCATCTCTGCCTTGGCCTTCCTGACCGCCCCCCTGCATCCCTGAGCAACCGCAGTATTGTCCTCCCTGGTGATGGCCCCTCCCTGCCATTGGGTGTGCACCTCCCTTTTAGCTAGCAGACATTCCTGAATGCTTCTGGTGAGCCATGGGGGTTTTTGCGCCCTCCTGCTCCCTTTGATCCTCATTGGGATTACCTTCCTTTGGGCTTGGAGGATCATCTACTTAAGGAACAACCCCTAAATCAAACCGAAGAGATCAGTAGAATGAAAATATGAAGGAAGACTCTAAGCTTGAGCACAGTAACACCCCATTCATTTCTAGGACCACTGGTACATGCAGTAGTTACCAGGGTGTCTGATTTTCTCTCTCTAAGGCTGGAAAGAGAAGTAATTTTTGTGCCACTACAACAATTTTTTATAGAGGCATGAAGAGAAAGCAAATAGACATCCATACCCTTTGTCACTCCACAAATGCATAAATTTGAGGCCATGACAAAAGGTGAGAAAAAAATTGTTCTGTTTTTATTTTGGTGGACATCTCTTTGCTTTATGGCAGGAGAGTGTGGGAAGCCTAGAACTGTCCATACTCTCCAGATACAGCAGGAAAGTGCTCTTGAGGCTTGAGTGGACCAGACCTGAGACCCTGGGAATTGGGCCTCAAGTTCTGGGAGCACCTGCCCAGCTTTCTCCACCTACAGAAAGAGTTTTCCCACTTACAGGGACATGCCGCAGAGATTCTTGGGTACATCTTCATAAGCAGAGAACACACTGTTCATTGTCACACAGCATCAATGAATGGCTTATAGATGGGTCAGTTCATGCACCTATGGGAACAGAGGGACACTGGGCTATGTGTTTTGCCCAATGATCTGCTTCATCAGTTTCTAGCCTAAGTCAGGTACAGACTTCTCCATGATGCACAATAAGCCACCAGCCCTAAATCCAAGTTAGCCCAGTTTTGTGTTTGAAATCTTAACCCCACTTCTTGTGGTTTTATTTATTTTTTTGTTCACTTCATTTTTTTCAGATCAAATTTCCTTTATTGTAATTACTGTTCAAAAGAGGTAAGCAACTTGTTTTTCAGAGCCTGTATTTAGTACTGAACATATTGTAAATGGTTATGTGTACATCTCCCTGATATGCCTATGTGCAAATGTAATTTTACAGATCCATTTTAACTAAGTTTGAATTTGATTTCTTTGTACAGGAGACATTTTCAAGTAGCTAAAGTTTAGCATCCCTGAACATCCTGATAGCTAGTCATGTCACTGTTTGCACTTAATCTCAGAACAAAGTTGAAAAAACAAACCAAACGAAACACAAGTTTCATTATTCAGTAATGATACATGTAGAGTTACTGCTAAACGGATCCAGCTGAATATACGCGGTAACATAGAACTAGTTATACTTGTATAAAATCTAGAATCGTTCCATTGACGATGATGCAATTATTTCAGATTTACAGAAAGATTGACACTTGTGCAGCTGCAAGCATATTTTGGTAAAAGTCTGTTCTATAATAGTAGTTCTTAACCTTTTTAAACATTTGCATGGACTTGAAGTATAAGATTTCACCATGTACTTATCTAGGTGTCAGCTATGGATGTGTATATTTAGCTAGGATAAACACACCGGGCCAAAATAATGCACTGAACTCAATGGAGTTATACCAGTGCTGTAATTTTGGTTTAGTTTGCTTTGAAAAAGTCGATATACAAAATGAGTGGGTTAATTAGGTATGCATGTGCATGCTTGTATTTATTTTAGGAACTTTTTTATAATGCTTGCATTCTAAATAATGTGTATTGTGCTCTGCAAATGGGGCATGGGTGAACTTTGTTACTGCCCCTGAAGGAGTGAGCAGAGCTGCTTCAACTGAAATACATTGGGCCTGCAAAAATGATGTGACAGGGTTAGTGGTGAAGTTAGCATATATATGATGGCGGTGTGTGCTGCACGGTATGTTGAGATATACACTGCCAAGTGACAATCGTGAATGTCAACTAAGTGCTAACAGCAGTAAAGGCAAATACTGTAAAAGAAAAAAATAATCAGGAAAAAGGGGGCTTTAAAGTCCGTTCTGAAAAAGAACAGTGAAAAGTTACAACAGGAAAGATGAGTTAGAAACAGCAGTAGAAAAGTCAGTGCTTGGAGCTAGGTAGAGAGACAAAAAACCTTGCAGGAGATGGCAACAGCACAGCAGGTGACAGAAACATTATCTGGGAGAGATTCTGATGTTACTGGGAGAGATACTGGTTGTCAAGGGGATACTGAGGATGAAGTGGGGTCTCTCCTTCTGCCTTTGCAATCCTTGCCCAATATTGTGATAATAGAAGGAGCAGGAATATTCACCTTTAGGAGAGTGCAGTCAGGTCTCTTCAGATCCATGATGTGCAGGTTTCCAATGATGGGTAAGGGCCTTGGTCCTGGAGGGAAATTTTCCCCAGTGCTCTTATTCCAGAAACTCTCTGTTTTTATAATAAACATAAGAATCAAGGTAAACACCACAAATATTGGAATAGGATCAGTCCACTCCATTTCCTTTCAGCTTGCTGTTGGCCTCAGAGGTTAAAAATAGGGACTCTTTTGTCAGATCACTGGATCCAGCTTGTAGTCCACAGGCCACTACATATACATTGTGAGTAATGAGCAACTTAAACTCTCCTGGGATTACAAATTAATTTAGTCCCCCTCCCCTACCAACTGCTAATCAGCATTCAGGAGAGAGCATTCACTGCTATACAGATTTAGTTTGCTTTTCAAACAAACTTATGTAACTGGTTGTTGGAGAGGTCTGTGGACCTCTTACACTTCTAGATGAAAGTCCATCATTCTGGTTACTAGGAATTCATCCACCATTCATTCATGTTCATCCCTTTCAAATAATTGCAAAAAAAAGTTATTAGCAATATTCATGACCTTTCCTGTCAAAGTGGAAGTTTGATAAAAGAAAGAAATGCTTGGGCAAGAAAAGTAGCATGAACCAAACTCTTAGTGGTGTGAACACCCACCAACCTTTCTGAGATTCAAAATTCTCTTTCAGGTATCCACACTCCTCAACAATCTGGTCCTCAATGGCCCTCTTGCCCATTGCAACGTCTTGTAAGGTTGAGAAGAAACCTTTGTGTCACTTCCCAGTTTTCACCATAAGAAAAAACAACACCTGAAATGAAGGGAAGACTTCACATCAGAAGAATAAATTAAAAAATTATGGAAAATGTGGATATCCAGAGCCAGGTGATTAGTGCCATCTGCTGGGATCAAGGCGTCTCAAAGAGGTTGGTTAAAATTTGAAATTCTGATGAACATTTTTGTTGGAAGGCCTGCTCTGTCCTATTAACAAATCATTTCTGAAGTAGAGGAGCCAAAGTAGTTTCTGGCTGATATCTTTGTTTGTCTGGTATAATGAATTGGCTGAAAGG